TGGTAAATTAAATCCTGAGTGCAGAAAGTGTTCATAAAGGTCTGCAGTCTTTAGTTTATCAGATGCTCCTCTGTTGGTGAGAGGAATGATGGGATTGGGATGTTATGTAAAATTAATTTTTTTTTCAAATTTTTCATAAATTATTATGCATGAAGCGGTGTTTGAGCAAATGTCTCCTCGTAAAATCTGTGAGAACAGGTCGGTTTGTTTAATTAATCCTCTTAGATTGAGATGCATACAATCTGTTTTTTCATGCCTCACCTGTCTTTGTTCGCTCTAAGCTCTCAAACAAACCGAACGCTTTTAACAGACACAAGTCTGCCGACAGATTTGTTAAGGAATGCGTTTAACAATGTGCCTTTGGTGCACATATTAAAATCGGTGCAATTCTGTTCCTTATGTCTAACATTATTTCTTTCAATTGTTCTTTGACAACCCCTTGTGAAAGTAAAAGCTCAAATTCTTACAGGGGTCAAATCCTCAATAAAGTAGTTTGTCATTGTCCTGCCTTCTTGTGGAACAATTTACATTCTATTATACCATGGTCTAAATACTCGATTCTGATTGGCTAGAAGGCGTGCAATAGAACCGTTTAATGACAATAATGATGATAACAAATATCATGATGCAAACATCAATAACAGCTTTGAGTTATCAATGACCATGGTATAAGCGAGATAATCCATGGCTATGTGCATCAAACGATTTGAATGTGCTCTGCTTCGCGTCAGATGGTTCTTTGCCTCCTCGTAATGCATTAAAATCTTTTAATATACATCTAACCATGGATAATCCCTCACATGTCTGATATTCACACTGTGCCAAGAGCTTAGAACTTGTTTAGCCATGCTAGAACTTTAAGTCTTGTCTTTAGTTTGGAATGGGGCCAGTATCAGAGTCGTATAGAGCTTTGTCCTGCCATCTTCTCTTTGTTTGGCTGTTTGGCTTGCAAGTCTTGTTCCGGTGGGACTGAATCTGGCTTATCTTAGTGATGGTGTTTCCCTTTACAATTTATCCCCTTGATTATGCTACCATATGTTGGTCTGAAAGAATAAATTTCCCTCGTAATTACCTGACTGTGTTCCAATATAATACAAATTGTCCCCCCTTTCAGAGCTGCAGACCATTAAGGTAGCTCATTTACAAGACTAGCTTTTCCCTGACTGAACACAATCTACCCTGGGATCTTTCTGACCTTTCGCATAATTTGCTTGGCTTCTACTCCAGGCCACATGCAGATGCATGCTCCCAACCTGTCTTTTAGTTCCTCATGAGACCTGACCTTTAACCTCAGTATTATTTCTTGAGTGATCATGTTCACTCTGTGCATTCAATATTACTTTCATGTCTTGAGATAGATTCATCCTTTTCCCTTTGCATATGGAAGTTATTCTATGAAAAGAAGGTTGCCTTTTTCATGTGTTTCTGTAATGGGTATAAAGAGTACATACAGTAGTATCTAATGATGGTACTTTATTTTACAGTCCTGTTCCCCGTATTCATATGACGTACAGAAATTAATAACTGGGTAATAACTAGGTACTAACCCTGAATCTACACCTAAACCTAACTATAACCCCCGTAGTTACCTTATATTACCTAGTATTTTCTTAGGTAAGTACACTGTAATTACACTGTAAAATAAAGTGCAACCCAAATGATTAATCTAAATATTAGTACATAGCAGTTAAAAACATTTATTATTAAGTGGGATCCAAATTCATACACTTTGCAACAAATCCAAATACATAGATACAAATTGTCTTGAGATTGTGTTGGTCTATTTCACCTGTGGTGGTGTGGTCACACAGTGAAAATCTGCTATTTAAATATTTCATAGAGATTGCGCATTGCTGTAATATAAATTTTGTATCAAATTTAAATATCACATGTTATGAAAATCCAATGAAAATTTGAATGTCTCTCTCATTCCTTTTTTTTGTACTCACCTTGCTATCTCCCCCACCAGCCCACTTTTAATATGTTTTTTTTTTTTTTTTTTTTTTTTACCAGCTGGACAGGAGTAACATTTATTAATTATAAATATTGCTTGAAAGCTTACAGAATAAATAAATATGATGTAATTTATATGAATAAATTATATGATGAGGATGCTGAAAAACTGCATGATATGATCTTAGTTTTGAACTTTGACCTGTGGTGTTAGGTGACCGCTCAAAAACAGACTGATAGAACGACTCATGAGAATGCTCTGCAATGCATGCAAAGCATATTTTTAATGATGCATAATGAACCACCATTCAATCAGGGAGAAAAGCTATACATTGCTAGTTGTGAATGCTGTGCTGGCTGAATATAATGCTGACAACATGCAAACTGACCTAAACTATTCAATAACATTCCCAAACCTACAGGAACTCACATGTAGGCAAAAAACTAACTGAAATGTTCATTCTTTGTGAAAAAAAATTCCAAAAGAAATTTCTTTCATTCTAAAAGAAAAAATAAACAGTTCACACTATATGGTCAGTTCTCCCTGACAAAAAAACCCAAAGCCCTTACAAAATGCTACATTTCATTCCTATACTTAATCAACACATTATTAATCAAAACCATATCAAATTTAAATAACACAATTTCATTCTGATGTACACTCACATAAAGGATTATTAGGAACACCATACTAATACTGTGTTTGACCCCCTTTCAACTGCCTTAAAGGTCCCCTGACATGAAATTTTCACTTTCTGAGGGTTTTTTTTTTTTTTTTTACATTAATATTAGTTCCCCTCACCTGTATTTGGTCACCTCGTGTCTAGAATTTTCAATCGGTGTAAAATTTGCTTTGGCTAAAAAAAATAGCTTTGGCTACTTTTCTCTTCTCTGCAGCTCAGGCGTGCCGAACTTGAATCTTCTCGTTATTACGTCATAACGAGGAAAGGTTACCTCCCCTTTGCCCGCCCGGAGAATTTGGATCGCCCATGAGAAAATGAGCTAGGAAGTACGAACGTGCGAGCGCGATTTGAGTTTTTCCTAGAGAAATATCTTTGAGATTTGAGTTTTTCCTCAAGAGATATCATGACTTGCAAACGAGCGAAGCATGGCAGTTCCTTCATTCGAGCCTCTGAAGAAACAATGGGTTAATTTTATTTTCACTGGAAATGCGCCGACACAACTTCCCAAAGTTTTGTATGGTCCAAACATTTCACCGACGACGGTTTTCTCAACTCGATGAACATCTGAAATGTGTAGCCTAATTGTTCAAGTTCAGACAGGTAAGTTAATCTTTCTCTCAAAATGTTCAATATTGTTTATGCATTAGTAAGTCAAGCGAGTGACTAAAATATCAACTGCACATCGTTTCTTTTAGTAGGATAAAAATAATCTTATTTAAATTCTGAACAAATTATATAGAAAGCGATCAAAGAACAATCTTTCCACACAACGTGAGTTTATCTGGACAACCCGTTATGAACTCAATGACACACACTGCACAACGAAGCTCTTACTGTATGTACATCGTCATGTCTGCATTGGTGAAAGCATTAGAGAGAGCAGAAACTGCGTTGCAATGATAAGATCTTCATTCTCGCGATCAACACACTATCCTCTGCTTGCTCAATGCTCATCACAGCAACATTTTATGTGATGGGAATAGATCTAAATATTTTCAAAACTTCTCATGATTCATTAATCTCGATAGCTGTAATAGTAAAAACCTATAATAGCTGTAGTAAAAATATTCGAGAAAGTTTTGCATTTAATTCATATTTCATATGCAAGCTTGTCAGCCAATCACAGCAGTGGCTGGCTACACTGAATCCCACAGCAGACACGCCCTTTCAAACAGAGCATTCAACTCAGACTCTAAAATCAGGCTATAGGGAAATTGCCTTTTATTTCTAAATTATGACTATTTTTGATCTAAAAACATACTAACATTATAAGGGCAACCCAGGAAACATTATAAAATAATAAAATAACCCCATGTCAGGGGACCTTTAATTCTACATGCCATTGATTCAACAAGGTGCTGAAAGCATCCTCTAGAAATTGCCCATATTGATAGGATAGCATCTTGCAGTTGATGGAGATTTGTGGGATGCACATCCAGAGCACGAAGCTCCCGTTCCTATTGGGTTGAGATCTGGTGACTGTGGGGGCCATTTTAGTACAGTGAACTCATTGTCATGTTCAAGAAACCAATTTGAAATAATTCAAGCTTTGTGACATGGTGCATTAACCGGTTGGAAGTAGCCATCAGAGGAAGGGGACATGTGGCCATAAAGGGATGGACATGGTCAGAAACAATGTTCAGGTAGGCCGTGGCATTTAAACTATGCCCAATTGGCATTAAAGGGCTTAAGTGTGCCAATAAAACATCCCCCACACCATTGCACCACCACCACCAGCCTGCACAGTGGTAACAAGGCATGATGGATCCATGTTCTTATTCTGTTTACGCCAAATTCTGACTCTACCATCTGAATGTCTCAACAGAAATCGAGACTCATCAGACCAAGCAACATTTTTTCGAGTCTTCAACTGTCCAATTTTGGTGAGCTCTTGCAAATTGTAGCCTCTTTTTCCTATTTGTAGTGGAGATGAGTGCTACCTGTGCAAGTTGTGGCTTAAAAACTGCTTCGCTGCATACCTCGGTTGTAACGAGTGGTTATTTCAGTCAAAGTTGCTCTTCTATCAGCTTGAATCAGTCGGCCCATTCTCCTCTGACCTCTAGCATCAACAAGGCATTTTCGCCCACAGGACTGCCGCATACTGCATGTTTTTCCCTTTTCACACCATTCTTTCTTTGTAAACCCTAGAACTAGTTGTGCGTGAAAATCCCAGTGACTGAGCAGATTGTGAAATACTTAGACCGGCCCGTCTGGCACCAACAACCATGCCACACTCAAAATTGCTTAAATCACATTTCTTTTCCAATCTAACATTCAGTTTGGAGTTCAGGAGATTATCTTGACCAAGACCACACTAAATGCATTGAAACATTGCCATTGCATTGATTGATTAGATAATGCAATGAGAAATTGAACAGGTGTTCCTAATAATCCTTTAGGTGAGTGTACATATTTTGTTGTTGTTGTTATCTCGGTGTTTTTTGTGATTATCTCTCTTTGAGCAGTGCTGCTGGGCTTCTTGTGTTTTTCTGTAATTAGCTGCGGATGTTTGGCCTTCTTCCCCCCTGCAATCATAATCACTAATTAAACGCCTGTGTTCATTTGTGCAATTTGCTGCTTATTGTGACATGATTAGGTTATTTTTTAAATTGAATTGTACCAAGGTCATTTAAAGGTATTTGCATTTTTACTTTGCAAACTTCCTAAAGAAGTTCAAAAAGGCCTCCGGATATATAATAAATTATATGGCCAGACTTTAGTTTGGGAACACATCTTCACTATTAACTACTGTTGCCTCAATAAACTACTATTTTACTGCTTATTAGTTAGTAGTTGTAGTGTCAAGCTTAAAGGTACAATATGTAAGAATTTTGTAATAAAATATCCAAAAATCACTTGCACAGTGTGATATATTTCTTGCAGTTGTGTACTTAGAATATCTCAAAAGTTCTCAAAGATTTCAAATTTCAGAGAAATCCCAATTTTAAATAAGTGGCTGTCTTGGAATTTTCACTTGTCGCCTGTCTCTGACGTGTTATCCCTGGTCTCCGCTCCTGTAGTACGAGCATAGTAAGCATGGCGACAGACGTGGACAACAGTGTTACGTCTAGCTGCAGTTGTTTCCGAGAAGCCGAGAGCTCGACTTGACAGAGCTTTTACATGTACTTATTAGACAGGTAAGCAAATGTACATACAACTAATCAATGTTAAATCTCAACATGATGAAATGTTAGAATATGATCTGTATGTTATTCTAATGTTGATCTAGCTTACTGCTAGTCTCACAGCCAACAAACAAACACATAGAATGACGTTATAACTTTCAACACACTCAAATACAGTTTAGTGTGATAGTGTAGACCAAGTGAAAAAGTGCAGTGTTACCTCACAAGCTTCATTCGTCTAAAAAACTGTGAGTAATTCAGCAATTGCGGGTAGTTTGGTAGAATTAAATGTCCTTATTCCTTTATATTCGCGGGTCTCATGTGTGGCGCTGATATCTGTCTCTCAGTAGCAATCGAGCCCTGCTTCATACCACAGTCATGATAAAAACAACAATGTATTCACTCATCCTTAAAGATCATTAGATCCATAAGCTTGACGACAAGTTCCATAATTCAACTGTAATTCTGCGTCATCAACCTACACCTTTGTTATTGTAAGAGGTTAGCGACTCATAGCGGCGAAAAAAAAATACATAATTTCACTTCAGGGTTCTGAACTGGTTGCAGTTCCACTCTGGTTCCATATGAGTGCGCTCACAGGACGAGTGCAGAATGAATGGAGGTCTATGGAGATATACCCCTCAAAATCCACTTTTCTCAGGATATCATTTTTTGTCTAGTAATTTGAATGTTGTTTTCGAAAGGAGATGCAAAGAAATTACAGATTACTGGGTGTTAGATTTTTTAGATTCATTTACTTTAAAAAGTATTTTAAAATATCAATGACGTCATACACATCGTATGACCAGAGATACTACTTTACGACAATCATTCAGTCACTTTGATGCTTTCGTGCTCTGCACTTTCCTCTCTCTCAAGACATCAACAACACAGCTGACACAAGTAAATACACATGCTAGAATAAGTCCGGCTTAATTATTCTGGTTTCACTTCGAATGTCACGATGCCATCAAGCGGTATCTCTGGTCGTAATCAGTCCTTCACTGACCAATCAGCATCCATTAGCAGAATGCTAGCGTGTTATGAGCAACAACAGCTCAACCTGTAAGAAATCAAAAGGACATAAGTACTCGATCATTTAACTTTCGACCTATAACTCATGTTAGACTTGCAAAACCTTCAAATCTGAGATTTCTCAACGGGAATCGGGTGAAAGAGACAAATGATCGCCCCCAGTGGAATTCTTGTGGAACTACAACCACAATTCGGCACAATATGACTTAATAGGGAGTGGCCAGGCTTTCCGCATGCTTTGGTATGGGGTATGATTAAGGGATGTAGAATACGGTCATGCACAATTTATGCTTCATTATACACAATCAATATTACATGCCAGCTAAGCATAGTAAGTAAAATAAATGGACAGAGCGATCTCATTGGAACTCCATTGAGACGATTGAAGCCCGTTTTTTGCCATTTTTTAGCACTTCCGTCCCTGACGCGCAGACTCAAACAGAGCTTGACTACGTAGTGGGACGTGAGGTGGAGAGTGTGAATAGGAGCTGTCCATGAGCTAGGAGAAGGAGACAATTTTGCTAGGTATTCTGATTAATTATTTGAGCCCGTTCTCATCCCAAAGCGCCATATAGGACACTTTTGCAAAAGCGTAAATATCCAACGCACATGGCACCCTTTAACGTCAAATGAGACGCAGATATATTTGGGCAGAAGGCGCCCCCTAGTGGTCTAACCCTTACCCTACACCATACCTAAACTTAACCATAACCGAAGCGTCTCATTAGACGTTAAAGGGTGCCATGTGCGTTGGATATTTACGCTTTTGCAAAAGCGTTGTATATGGCGCTTTGGGATGAGAATGCGTTGATTATTTTGTCATTTTGCCTCCACGTTTCCCTGATTGCGCGCAAGCTTCTTCTCATGTCCATACGGTAATCTCTATACTGTGCAACAGAGAGTCGCGTGGGTATGACGCAATCGTTAGCCTACTTTCACTAAAACTGCTTCTACAGGGCCATAACATAAGCTACAAGGTAACGGAGCTATTTATACATTGTCGTGTTTCTTTAGAAATAAATAAAGGACAAATGGGGTCTTCAAACGCCTCAGATGTAAAGTTATTCGCTGTCAAAGTGACGCCAAAATGAATGGGAGTCAATGGCAATGCTAACGCTAGTGAAGTTCTGCTACAAGATGGCAGCTCCCGCGAGGCTTCAACTTCCGGTCGATGGATTACCCCCTTGAAGCTGAGCAACAAGTTAATAGTGAGAATTATATAGGCCTATATATATATTAGGGGTGCAACGGTACAGACAGCCCACGGTACGGTCCGTACCTCGGTTTTTGGGCCACGGTCTCGGTTCGGTTTCGGTACGTTTTGTGCAGAAAGAGACTGCTATTTCATCCCAAAAATATGTTTTATTTTTCTTATGAGCATAAACAGAATGTCACAGTAGTAAGAACATTAATGTGTATGGAATAAATTAACACTCTAGTCTGTACTGAACCAACCTCTTCAACTACCACTTATGAAATACAAAATGTAAACAAGCAAACTTTAAAATATTCAAGTGGATCCCAAATCCAAACCTTGATAACTGGTAAATGAAGTGATCAATGTGAAAGAAAAAGTGCACTTTTACCTTTAACATAAATTAGCTTGTGGTTTGAATAAAAAGAGCAGAGCAAAATAATATAATTTAAAAAAAAATACTGCATTCAGGATACAAAGTGCAATGTTATTTACTCATCCACTTTTGAGAGATTCTTGTGCAAAAATATACTGCAGTCAAAGTTTGACTGGGTTTGCGTTATGCATCTGTGCTGGGAATGTAGCGAGTGCGTGCCCGAGGTGAGGCGTTTATTTAGTAAGCGTGAGCGCGCTGGGGCGTGCACGTAACTTACATTCGCAGCCTGACTCATATGAGTATTCAATGTGCGGCGGCTCGCTAACAACAGTGGGTTGTTTTGAATGAGACGACCCGTGTGAACGGGGAGCGCTTTATGAACGTCTATGACGCGCGAGCAGCGCCGGTCTGTTCGTGTGTCTGTTAGAGTGAGCGCTCGTGAGCGACACACACATTACCTGATTTATACGTGGTTGAACTGGCCGTGTGACAAACAAAGCGGGAATAAGCTGGACACGAGCGCAAGTTCGCGGGCGAATTTAATAATGCGGAGCGTTGTTAACTAATTGATCCATATAGTAAGGCGCTCCCGAATATAAGGCACACACTGTCGTTTTTTGAGAAGATTAAAGGCTTTTAAGTGCGCCTTTTATAGTGCGGAAAATACGGTAAAAGGATCAGCACGAACTCTATGGCAGAACCGAAGTCCCGCGGGACACGAGGTTAGATTGTCCCGTGCAGGGCTGACCGAACGGTCCGGGATTTTACCGTGTACCGTTGCATCCCTAATATATATATATATATATACAGCCTATGAACTATGTCTAGGCTATGAATATATACTCAATTATGGTTTGTCTTTTGTGTTCATGTCTTTGATTTCTGTATTTAATCCACTGAAGGCAAGTTGAAGAAACCAAGTGCAGTTTATTTAAATCCTAAAATGGACAGATACACAATAAACAAAGACTTGACTTGACTATTGAACAGAAACATACAACTCACTTAACAATGGTTACACAAACAAAACTAGACAAAAAAACAATGGAAACAAGGGGGCTTTTTATACTAGACTAATGTGACTAACAAGAAACACCTGTGAACAATCAAGATGATCAACCAATCAGCACACCAATCAGCACCTTTTTTAGCACACCAGGGGGACTAGGAACATGAAATTGTCCAGCCATGACTTCTATTTCGGTAGCCTGGAATAATTCCGACATAGTAATGTAGGCCTACTAAATGGCTCCCTAGCCAGAAAGACAACTATACTAAGGAGTTTGCTGAGACAAGCCCTCAGCCTCTAAAGTATCCAGTTTTAGAGCAAAAATCCCCCCCCCGAAAACCTTGAAGATGCTGTTAAAGCAAAACACCTGATATGAGCTTACTAAATTTTTGCCTTAGGGCTAGTGTACAACTTGTTATTGGATTAGGAGGATTTACCACCCGTATCTTTACTGGCTTTTTGAATGTTTGGCAAGGCGTGGGAGAACGGCTGCCAACCAAAATCAGGAAAGCAAAATTGAGATAAGGGATTTATGGGTTAGCAAAAGCACTGATGTGAACAAACTTAATATTTCTAACTCTTGAGAGGACTCCTCAAAATCCTGAAATCTGACCTTTTAAATTAAGGAGTTCCATCAGTGCGATATATAATTTTGAAAACACACACGCACGGACACACACGGGCATGTTGCCTTTGCCTATAGGCATACTTTATGAAGGTAATTGCAAGTTATTAAGTGTTTTAACAACCTCTAATTTGCTTGGGGCTTGAAGCCCTGCATTATCATCTTGGGTGAAGATCAGTTTTATTCATGAGAAAATTAATTGAATCTACAGTTGCATTGATATGGATGGTCTGGCTGTGCCCATGTTTGCATAACATTTCAAGGCAAATGTCAATATAGATCAGTTTGCATCGCAGGCATAATGTCAAATTATCATATGTTTGGTGTTTCAGGGGTCTTTAGTAGACAAAAGATTCCTCCTCTAGACACAGTTTGCAGTAACAGGAGAAAATGGTAAATCAGATATCATAATAGTGAGGGGGACACCAAATGATTGAGAAGTTTTACACATCCATTTCTGTGTACCTTTGCGAATGTGTACATACAGGTGTATATAATTCTACACACCAACCTCCGGGCACCCGAGAGCATCCATCAGTCATCAGGGCGTTTAGATGATGCTGTTTGTGTGTTTCCGTGACAGAAAATCAATGGCTTTCTCCCTACAGTGGCTGTTTAACAGTCAGAGCGGCGTGCTGTGAAAACCGGGTGTCTGTTTTAGTCAATGACCCAGCACTGAAGCCCAGCCGCTGAGAATGGAAACACACATAGAGAAGAGGTCAAACCCGTTAGATCAAGAGTTTGTGAAAAATAAGAATAAACTGGCACGAAT